GACGGTTTTTAGATACAATTCGCTAAAAAGCGTTATGAACTCCGTCGCGGATAAAGTGACGACACTTTCCCTCCTTCTCCCGAGTACGCCATTTTCACGCCGCGCCGTTTTGATAAACACCCGCTCGCCGCCGTCTGCGGTATATCACGCGCTCATCGCTCAACTCGTTAACCTTGTTCGGATACGGGCGCGAGGGAAGCGTCTTCTTTTTTAGCACCGCGTCGGCGGCATCGATTTCAGATAAAAGTCAACGAACTGGCACGTAGTATTTCCGGCACCAATAAGCGACTACAGAGAAGGCGCGTACAAAGAGCCTCCCGCTCTTTGGACAAATTAAATAGCATCGACTGACCGCTGCGCTTTTCCCACCTGTGACCTATCTTCCGATATTTTTTTTTTTTGTTTTTTTTGTTTTTGGTTTGTTTTTTTTTTTCTTTTCTTTTTTTTTTGTCACACTATGCGCTCGTTTTCACCTGTCAAACTTCCACCGCAATCTATCACAATTCATGACACATGGTAAGTCGCGTTGAGTCGCACACGGCGGCTTTTCAGCGGCGATACGTTAGAGCTGAACGGACGAAAATTAGGACAACCCTCTGTCTCTCTATCCTTCGTGTAACAAATCACGGAGGAAATTGCTTGATAGCGCGATATCTATCACGTTGTCTATCACGCATCCTCATTTGGGGGATGTAATGACCGATGAAGGGAACTCATCCGGGGAGAGACGGAGCGAACTGACTAGACAATTTCACGTGTGCGATGGGTCAACCGAGGGTTACCGAGGCACATATATGGATATATAGTAGCGCAATATATGACAGATTTCGATACGAGACACATGCGTTACGAGACATACTGCGTTAACGGTTATCGAGTCGACTCTTGGCGCGCGCGTGTTCGAGAGCGCGACTTGAGAGAAAAAGCAGCAAGGTGATAAACCAAGTTATTTGCATATCACGTCGGAGACGTGAATATTGGACGTGAACGAACGGGAAAACTGCGGCGCGCGATTGAATCCCACTTTATTTACAGCAACGAGATAACCGAGAGTCTCGTCTCTCTGACGATCTCCCAGGCGAGATTGGTCAAATGGACTTGTATCGGGTATTTCGAAGATCTTCCGCTTTCTCTTTTTCTCTCTTCCAAGCAATATCCGGGCAATTGCGTTCACGTCACTAACATTTATTGTGTCGTTATTTCATTTTGTCGTTTTCGCCGCTTTCTCATTAGTCATCTATCGATTGCCGGCTTTCGCCTTATTTATTGCAACCTTCGAAACTTTCATTTGAAAATGGCGTGTAATTTCCACACAGGAAAAACACAGCATCGATCTATTTGTCTTGCGGAGCGAGACAATGTGCATTATTTCACGCGCGATGTCTAAAATTTGTCGCGGGCCAGTTGTCGCGCGCGCCGAGATTAACCAAGAGAACACAGTCGCGTCGCGCGCGTTGTCGCGGATTTATCATAAAATATTACGGCGGTCGTGCCGCAGAAATTGCGTCGCGATGTCGGAGTTATAGTAGACATTAAAAAAAAAAAAAAAAAAAGAAAAAAAAACTGAAACCATCTATAAACTACGGGCAACAAATCCTTTTATCCGCCATTTACGCTCAGAAACGACCGAGCGAATACGCGATCCGCAGCATTGACTGACAATTTATTACGGACATGAAATTACGGGCGTTAATTCTTCTCTGGCCATCAAATAATAATTTCTCCGTGCCGTTCGCGAGAGATCGGCAAACGAGCTGAAAAATGAACAAATGCATGGATTCAGAATAAAGTCCGTTTCGTGCGATGAAAAACACGTGAAAAATTGACGCGGATAACTTTTCACTTTTTTTATTTTAATTTTTTGTATATTACACGTGTATATAAGTTTAATAAAGAAAGAGGTGTGTGTGTGTGTGTGTGTGTAGTTGCGTCGTATGTATTTCTTTCTATACGTGTATATATTTCCGTTCTCTATTTTTTGAACATATTATATTGTTATATATATAATTTTATAAAAGTATGTATAACGTAATACACGAGCAGAGAAAATTTTATCGGAGATATTTGCATAGCTACGCGAATTAAATTTCGGATAAAACGCATTTGAGCGCTTAAACGAAGAGGAAATTCAGGTGGATAAAACAAAATAAACAAAACGCGCGCGCGCGCGAGAAGAAATAAAAAGGCGGATAGCATAAATTACTCTCTCGTTTCCTACTTTGAGAGAGCAGAAAGAATAAATGCAAGAGTACGAACTATCCTTTGTTGGTCCTCGAATTAAGTTTGACGTAACGCAGCTTAGCTTTTTTCCTTCGTCTGTATGCGCGATAAAAAGAAAATCGCCGAGCGAGCACGAACGGAGCGTGGCTCCATGTTTCTAAGTAAGACATTCTGTATAATGAACATAACAATAAATTGCTTAAAGTGCACTCTCGGTTTATGTTATGCGATTCGCATTTACGTTGTGCGATAAGTATTTTACTGAAGACTTTGAATTTACGAAAACAGAGATTACGCCTTGAGGATTAGTTTCGGTCGAAGTTTTTTTATTTTTCAAACGCGCGCGCGCGTGCGCATATATGTATTTGCAAAACACTTTTGCGGAAAATGTATTTCTCACAACGCGCGTTCTAGCAAAATAGAAGAATATAGTAGAATAAATTATTAAATGATTACAATTTTGCTTGTCAATAAATTATTAATATCACGTTTCACGTGACATAATTATATTATAGTTTTCTAATGAAATTATAATTACGTATCTAATTATATATGTACATAACATATAGAAGAACGAAAAGTGTGTAACTATGTATATAATTTGTGTTTAGATGCAAAGGATAAAGCGTGTAAATTTATCGCATTTCTCAAAATTGAATTTCAACTCGTTGTGTTAAATTCGGATATTTATTCGAATACCGAGTAGGAGAGAGTTTACTTAAAGAGAAATTCATTAGGAACAAACCGATATCCCTGCGAATGCAAATTTCCAAGAAACAATCGTTTTCCCGACCGTAATTTATATTCAGCTATTAACAGCTCTTCACTTCGCAATTCGTATTACAGCCAAATTAGCATTATTTTCTGAAACCACGCGCCTGATATACATATCCATTGAAGACAATTTGGATATCGCATCGTCAGCGATGTGCATGATTGTTACGACCAGGACTTCGAAATTCAATTGACCGATACAGTAGCATCTCTCTCTCTATTGCCAGAATGTAACAATTCTCCAGTTACATAATACTGTTGAGTCGGACAATTGATTAGCCGACGCTGTGTTACCATAAAGTACATTTACCTATTACGAAAAGAAGTATATAATTTCCTTACGTATACTAATTACATAAACTCTTTATTAAAATAAATTTAGTTAATAAGAAAAGAATTCAATTTGAAAAATGTAATTAAAAAACTTAAGAAAAAATTTAGTAAAAAAGAAAAACAAATATTAAACATACAAAAAACTGTTATTCTTTATAAGAACGATATATGTTAATGAAAAACTGTAATAAAAAAAAACAATATTAGGTGAAAATCGATTGATATGTATGAACAATACAAACTAATAATAAATTAATGAATTAAAATTAATTTCCTCCTCTCTGCGATTGGCTCTCAGAAAGTTTACACAACATTTTCTATAATTATACTATAATTACATAAAGACTTCAAATAATAAAATTAAAATAATTGTATTTAACAGAAAAACTGACAGAAAAAAAACTCAATTTGAAAATGTAGTAATTTAAAAAAACTTGAGAAGAAATGAGTAAGAAATGAGTAAGAAATTTAATTTTTTAGATTGAAATGAGGCAAAAGAAGAGAGAAATTAAAATCAATTTCCAAGTAGTTATGATTTTTTTCTTTTGTGAGACGATTGCTTTCAAGAAAGTACATTAGTCGACCGATACTTAATACGTTATCCGAATAGATTTTTCATTAAAATTTCGACTTCAGAGTCTGCGGTGTGATAGCAGGACCCGCAATTCACCTTTTGCCAGCTTCGCGAATATCCGAGCTTATCGACTTCAGCGGATAAATCGCCGGACGAATACCGAGAGAAAAACGAAGCGGGTAATGGATTTTCTAAGGACAGCGAACGATGAGGTAGAGAAGGAATTGAAGTCTCGGAGTTTGATTAACGTCGCACTTTCGACACCTCTCGCGCGCTGTAATTCTATTCCCAATAAGAAGATAATCATCAACACTTGGCAGTAGTCACGTCTGTTTTGCTGGAATTGATATTGGAGATTCAAAGTGCCACTTAAAAAAGCTCGACCAGACACAATTGAGAATCGCTTAACACTGTCGATCTTTTATTCGGAAGCTGCATTTCGCGATGCTTTTTTCTTTTACACTTACACGTCAATTTCGAGAACGTTAGAAAAGTAATTAATTTCTGCTTCGAGATTCTTTTCAATAACGAGCACCGAACGATAGGTGAGGGCAAATAATCAGGAAAGGCAAGAGAGAAGAAATTGCGCTTCAAACTTTGAATAAACGTCTCTTTGGACGTCTCGATCTCTTTCCGCTACTTATTTTTCCCGACGCGAACCATTATATATATCAGGCAATCGCGGAAAAAAAAAAAAAAGAAAAAGCAACTTCTAAATAAAGCAAGAAATGTAGTTTGAAGTGAAAATCGATAGGTTGTATCCCTATATATGCACAAAATTCATATTACCGCACTTCATCATGCGCACCTTTTTGCATCTCCGTTAATTGATTTCCATTCCCCGCAGTGAAGTGCAACGTATAAATGTGTATACGATAAAATGTTGGAAAATTTCTCGAATAAACATACGCGCAATTAATTGCTCTTAAGTGATGACTGCTAATTGACCTGCATAATATTATGAAAAACCCGCGGGCAAAATCTGCGCCGCAATTCGAACTGCAATTTGATTTGGCGCGCGCGTTGTCTTTGCCAAGGGCGGGGGAGAGGAAGTGACCACGCGGGGTTGGTTGATCGCGAACTTTTTTCGATATTGCAGGATCGATTATCAGAAGAATAGCCATCTACACCCCCGAAGATGGAAAACTGTTAATGAACTGTCCGGGATGCGAGGCTACAAGATGGCCCGGAGGCCAAGTGCCAGCGGCTCGCAGAGTCTTCCGGTAACGTACTATCAGTATTATCACACTTGACTGAATCGTTCGAGCGTTATCGGGTTAAATGAGACACTCTGATTATCCTAATTTGCATATATCAATAACCCGATGCGTCTGACCTGAATAAACACATTTTGCAGATTCACACGGTCGAGTGATCCATCGTTGAAACAATGTATTTCTAACACGATGGGAAAATAATAAATGCGTATTTTCCCAACGTGTATTTTCATCGTGTCCGATCTTATCAACGTTTAAATGTCGGATTTCATAATCCGCGATAAAGATTAATGGTTCTTCTCGCGCGAATGTGTGAAAATATATGATAAAATAATCAACTCGCCGCACAAAACAAAACAATCACGTGACGTAATCTCAAATCATCGTCGTATCTGTCATATGTTTAATCGGCTCGACGTTACAACAACGCCGCGCGTTATATGTATTTCGTCGACATAATTGCAGCACATTGTGTGCTCTGTGCACCAAGTTAGCGTAATGCACTTGTGCGGCAATCGCGCGGGGAGTAATTATAACATCGCGAAACAACGCGTTAAATTAATTTGCGCGCTGTGTGTTCGATAACATCGCTCGATGATGATAATAATAATAATGATAATAATAATAATTTTAATAATCCGCGAGAGCTGTGACGTGAGTGATAGAATTTGTTGTTGTACGCAGATTACGAATGGTAACGGTGGCGCCCGCCGCGTTCCTCGTTATTACCTGCATAGCCAGCGTCGGCGTTACCCTGGCTCTTGCTTTCCTGGCTTTCAATCTTCATTTTCGCAAGCACAAGTAAGCTCGATGTTACAACAAAAATACAAGCACAACTCGTCATACACTCGACATAAACGAAACACAAAAACATTCCGAGCTAATGCTCGGCTTTTTGCTGTTTAATAGATACATGATGATTCCAAATAAGTGCAAAATCTTTCAAGAGATGATTCTTTGTGAAAAATTAAAGAAAATCTCTTTTGTGTCAACATATATCTTATTTCTTTCTCTAAGAAGTTACACCTTCCTTCAGAGAGTGAGATGAAAATTAGATTTTTATTTCTCTTTCTTAAATTTTTAGAACCTTTAACAAGCCGGAATGTGATATCTAAACGTATGCGTTAGAAAGACTTGATTCCTTTAAGAATTTTTTTTATTTTTTAGCAGATTTTTACATGAGAGATGATCACACACACATTTCCATTTCTTATTACAGGTTCTAATAAAAAAATTAAATAGACGTTGCTGGTTTAACCTTCTTTACAAGAGAAATATAAAACACAATATTGATAACTTTTTACTAGTGCAAAATGTCGACTAAATTACATTTTTTGTAACTTGTTAAAAATTTGAGCAAAAATATAAACTTAATTGTCACCTCGCTCTTTGAAGGGGTCGACTCCTCAGGGAGAGATATATGTTTATGAAAAATTTTTTTTAATTTTCGACAAAGAATCATCTAGAAGTTTTGACAAAGAATTACATAAAATTTTTCAAAAATCTTACTAGGTTACTTATTAAATTATAAATAAATAACACATTTCTCTTTTTGAAGAGAGAAAACTCAGATCAGATGTTCCGAGACTACAGGACAGTTTTCAAGTAAATAATTTGATTACTTTACCTTGTAGTCTCGGAACACTTTCTTTTCTCTCTTCAAAAGGATAAATGTGTTATTTTAATAAAAGTGTAAAGATATATACGCACACGGGGCAATTCTGCGAAACGAAATAAATGAAGACAGTTTATCCACGGGAATACAACACTTGTTATATGTCTACAAATCTATATGCAAATCATCACGATATATCACTCTATTATTTCTCGATATTGGCAGAAGCATAAAACTTTCAAGCCCGCGGCTGAATAATATGGCGGCCGTTGGTTGTGGTCTCGTCTACGGGGCTGTTATACTTTTGGGGCTGGACGACGCTACGTTACCTGACAGCGATGGTTATTATCCAACGGTGTGCAAGGTGATATTATCATCTATTACGAGAAATAATATATATAACGACACTTGTGACTCTCTTATCTCTCCATATTATTGGCGTTAATTTCACATAGATAATGAACGTTATAAATTATCACGTTATAAATTATTATTATAATATTATCAATGTACATTTTGTAAACTAGCGTACAAAGTTTGTTAGCCATTTGGATTTTGAAAAAGTTTGAAAAAGTAGATTACTTAATTTAATTGTAAAAATATGACCAAAAACGAAAATTATTTTTAGATCTGCATCATTAATTTTAATTATTAATAATTTTATGTAATATATTTTATTATATATCTTTTATAGTATATAATACGAATTGATATATTAATATATCAAATATGTATTTAATATTAATTAAATTCTTATTTCATTATTTCAATTATAAATGAAACTTTTTTAAATTAATTAAGTTTTTAACAAAAAAGAAAAGAGTATTAATTAATAATATGTGCTTTATAATATACGAATGTTGAACCAAAGCAAGTTGATCTCTCTCAACAGACAATTATTGATAAGAATCGTTGATAAGAAATAATTTTTTTTTCTCAGTAGTAATAGTGCAGTTACGTACTGACTACGAAAATTAATAAAATCACACGAATGCGCAGTAATCAGCAACGAGACACAATAATCATCACTTGTACGCAACAGTTTTTTCATGAGTTAATTATTAATATTTATTAAAATTTTTATTAGTTAAATTATTAAAATTAATTTGGAAAAATACGAATTACCATAACCGTCGTTTTGTATCTACAGGCGCGAGTATATCTGTTATCGGCCGGCTTCTCTCTGGCTTTCGGTTCCATGTTCACGAAGACTTATCGCGTACACAGGATCTTCACCAGAAGCCGCAGCGGGGTTGTGAAGAACAAGGTTAGCCACGATACGAGAACAATAATTTTCTCGTTCGCCGTGCCGTTTCTACGTGATCAAACGCGAAATCAATATTTGTATCGCACGATGAGAATCCCGTGCGCGCTTTCGTTTTGTATAGAAAAACGACGACCGTACTCCGTTCGCGTAAATCACAGAGTTATCGAATTTTCTTCCACAGCTGCTGCAGGACACTCCGCTGATATTTCTGATCTGCATGCTGCTGGTGATCGACGTAATCGTGGTGACTCTGTGGGTGATTTTGGACCCGATGCAGCGTCACCTGCAGAACCTGACACTGGAGATCAGTCCTCAAGATCGCGGGGTCGTCTATCAGCCTCAGGTAACGTACGCACGAAAAGGGAATAGAACGCATCTGGCTCGTTTTTCGCCGTCTCGGTTTGCGAACGGTCGTTTCACGGGCTGAATGTCACACGGTTACAGTAATTATCGTCAGCGAGCTGCGGCCAATTAACTCTCGTGGCTCTCTTGTTTGCTCGTACAGGTGGAGGTGTGCCGCTCGCAGCACACCAACGGCTGGCTAAGCGCTCTCTACGTTTACAAAGGTTTACTGCTGGTAGTCGGGGTCTACATGGCTTGGGAAACGAGGTGAGAGTTTAGGATAAAGACGTCTCGAAGTTCGCGGACTCTCTCTCTCTCTCTAAAACAGGTCGGCTCCCCCGATAACACAGAGAGAGAGAGAGAGAGACAGATAATCCGCTGCATATTTTACGCTGTTTCCTAAGCAGGCCGGACATTAATATCTCGCGTATCTGTAATTCCCGCGGGAGGGTTCTGTTACATCGTGTAATCCGGGCTTCCGCTCTCTCATTCTTCTCGAAAATCGAGAAGACCAGTTTAGATGAAATAGATAGCTGCGCGGAGAAAATCAAGTCGCAGGAACAAGTCTCGTCACACACGCTAATCGAAGGAAATACGCGTTAAACTGCTGAGCGCGAATCGCTGATCGGTTTCAGACACGTAAAGATCCCGGCGCTGAACGACTCGCAATACATCGGCATGAGCGTGTACTTCGTGGTGATCACATCAGGCATCGTCGTGGTGCTGGCCAATCTGATGCCCGATCGCGCGACCCTGGCCTTCGTCACCATCACTGCCCTGATTCTGGCCTCGACGACGGCAACTCTGGCGTTGCTCTTCCTGCCGCAACTGGCGAACATCCTCGCGGGCGAGAGAGACGATCCGGTTGTGCAGAGCCTCGGTTTGAAGATCGAATGCAACACACGCAGATTCGTCACCGACGACAGAAGGTGAGTGATCGGAAAAGTCTTCTCTCCTTCCGACCCGGAGCTGAAGAAAATCGAAAAGTACGAGTTATGAGAAGAGACGCTAAAGCACAATAGCATTGTTCGCTAAAGGCTTCCGTAATGGAGCTAATCGGTCGGGTAGATCGATCTCCAGACTCTTTTATTGCGTCTGTCTATGTGCTGGACTCTTGAGGGACAGTAAGAAAGAAGTTGTGTCATCTGTTTTTTTTTCTTTTTTTTTGCTCTGACGACAGAAATATTGTTTCCTTCGCGAAACGGTAGTTAGTAGTTTGCGAAATTTGTATTGTATCGCAACCAAATATTTTCTGCAAAACTTGGCAAAATCTCTCTGTCAAAAGATTGATTATCAGAGTTTTGGAAACTTGGACTATTTCTTCGGAAAACATTCATCGATGTCAATTGTTTCCGTAAAACGACAGAGAGCTGCAGTATCGCGTGGAGGTGCAAAATCGGGTTTATCGTCGTGAGATGGCACAGCTGGAACTTGAACTGGCCAGATTGGAGAAACAACTGGCGCAAGAAATGGAAAAACCGTCGCGCGCCTCATCAAACACTTCGATTCCGCAACGAAATCCAAGTATCGGGGGCGGTCTGCCTCTGTTATTGCTCAGTGTCCTGCCACCGGTTATTCCCCGTGCCAGCTGGCCCTCCGCAGACTCGTCCGGTAAGCGTAAATTGACGTGATCACGATACAAAGATTCGCCGTGCAAACACGACGCTGTTCCAATTTCCCAATTAAGTCGCTGCCGAAACAGGTGGATTTACTTTGGAAGTTCTCTCTCTCTTTCTCTCTCTCTCTCAATCCATCTCTTTCGTTGTTGAATTAATCCTCTGTTGAATTAATCCTCTGTTGAATTAATCTCTTTCGAAGTACAACAGTCAAATAGATTACAATAACGGCGGAAGTTATCGAACGTCTTTTGTGAACATTATGAAGGGGATAAGAGGATATCGATCGCGGCTATCATCGGCGTATACGTTTCGTATCGCGTTCTATGAAACGGTAGACTGAATTTTTTTATTATTTTCAACTTCGAGTGCGCAAGGGTTAGTAGCCAGTTTGATCCCGAGATAAAGAAACGGACGCGATATTTTTTTTCGACAAAACGGATTATTTATCGAAGGCAAAAGACCCTTTCTTTTTTAGAGACCCAACACACGCAAGTCTAATAAAAAAGTGCTTGACTTGAGAGAGAGAGAAAGAGAGAGAGAGAGAGAGAGAGAGAGAGAGAGATTGTGTTCAAACGAAAGTGGGAAAAAATGACGGGAATGGCCGTAAGTGTTGAAACTTGCATGACGAATCCGCGTTTTAGCCGACAAGAGAGAAGGAAGGAACAATAAGTATATTAACGTGCTTTTCTCGCTTCTTCGTCGTTTTTCCGTCGATCAGATGTCCGAGAAAGGTGACAGAAAATCCCTTTATTGCACGTAATTGCCTGAAAAACGTTCAGCTTGCCTGGGTTGAATTGTGGGAGAAGAGCCCGACTTATGTATATATATAGAAGACTTTAGATTGTAGAAAGAGAAAGAAATATATATCCCGTTTTAAACCGTGTTCCAAGTTTTCTTTCTCTCTCTCTCTCTCTCTCTTTCTCTTTCTCTTTCTACGCATTCGGAGAGAGATAAATTGCGAAAACTTTATAAATTAGATCTTTGTGACAGAGCAGCTGTCGTTTGTTCTTCAGAAAAATGAACACAGATGCATGCGCAAACTTAGCGTTTGAGACAGAGCACTTTTTTTCTCCTTGCTATTCATTTTCTATGAAAATTTTCACACAGAAAAAAATTCTTGTGCGAAGCTTTGCATTTAGAAAAAGAGAAGTACAGGATGATTTAAAAAAAAAAAAAAAATGTTAACACATGTGTTGAAAAAAATACACGTGTGCGAAATGTGCCTTCAAGGCTCTGGAAATCATCCCCCGCAGAAGATTCCAAAAGAATCTGTATTGACAATAACGGCAAATACAGAAGACTCTCTTTGAAGACAAAATACGTTTGTTATTTTGATATCGCGTCGCGGCAGGTTGTCACACACTTGAAACGGAACGTAACAACTGCAACACACCGTTGTAAAAACAATCGGATGGTAGTGATGTTACGTGTACACGTTCGAGACAAATTATTACACGTCGGGAACAATAACATTCTTACATCTCGCTGTGACATATATTCGTGAGATATAATATAATATGGACAAAAAAATATTACTATGTTACGCTCATTTGTTTTTTAAACCTTTTCAAATGGCCGACCTCACGGCGGTAACATCTTTTGACGCGGCGCAGAAATACCGACGGGACGCGGTGTAACTTCGTTGCGAAACGGCAATGTTGCGCTTAAATGTTTGGCGCGAAGTTACAAAACATCTATCCACACATTGCGTCGATGTTACGCGACGTAGTTGCAGTTGCCGTGTTTTGTTGCAAGTGTGTACTTGTTTCTCTAAAAAAAAAAAAAGTTGCTTCCATAAAAAGTGTTAACATTTTTTTGAAGCACTCTGTAAATGTATGCTAGTTTTAGAAACATATCTATCATCCCTTTGAGTTTGACACGATCAACGTTACGTGTGTAACATACGCAAAGCGGCACTTCAAAACCAGTTGCAGACCGTACGATATCACGCGGGAAATGAATTTTCCTTTCTTTCAATTCAACAGAATTTTCTCTATTTTCGTTATTTTTTTTTTTTTTTTTTTTTTTTTTTACAGAATGCGTGGGGAATAAAACGCAACCGCTCGATTATTTACCTCCGCCGTGAAAAGCGTCGCGCGGAGCACGTACGCGCTTTTGTGTAATTGATTTGTGTATTCTCATCCTTCGCACGGCGCGTTGACAAAAGGAAACTTCCCTGGAAAACTCGGCGTCGTCGCGCGCCGACTGTGCCATTTGCAGTGCAAATATCGCGCGTCTCGCTCTCGCGAAATATCCGCTTTCAACACTGTCACACACATGCATATTTACGCTCCGGCGATTCACCAACGCGCGCGAAAGCGCAAGACGTGGTATCGAGCATCATCTCGTCTTTCTCTATCTCTATATCTCGTGCTCTGTGTATCGCGCGCCAATTATCGTCCACAAGCAACTTGAACGTGGAAACCATCATTTGGGTTATTATTAACGGACAAGAGGACACAGTGTTCCTGATGAATCGATCGTCCGTTGTACTCCACCGTTCGGATTTCGCGTAACGCGCGCGCGTCTCCAAAATCCTCAAATCCCTTCACTTGATAAAGTCCGAACAATTCCGAATACGTCAAGTACGGAGTCTACATCCACCGAATGCGCGCGCGTTCCACCCCAATATTTCTGAATGTCTACCGTGAGCGGATCAAACGAGGTCAAAAGCTGCGGAGACGTTTGTGTGTATGTGTACGCATGCATGTACGTACTACGTCTCATTTATAAACGGAAAATAGTTGGAATACGGATGCTCTGACAAAAACTTCAAAGCCGAGCCTTTTAAAAAGATACTTAGTATCGGAACTCTATGTGTGTGTGTGATATAATTTTTAAATTTAATTAGAACTTAATTCGCACATTTATTCTTCTAACACTCACTGATAGAAATTCAAATATTATCAAATAGTTCTTAAAAAATTAGACTCAAAGAAAATCAAGAAATCACTAAATATATAAAGAAAGATCACGAAAAACGCGGATATTTGTGCGCGCGCAGATTGATATTGTTTTTTTATTGTTATCAAAACCGCGCTCGCGCTGTGCGCAGGCGTTTCAATAATTTGCGTTGAGAGAGAGCATAGTTTTTAATAACTTTGAAGAAATTCATTTGCGACGTCAAACTTTGAAGAGGGCTCGTAACGTAGTTTTTAATAATAAAAAAAATATTAATCTGCGCACAAACATCCGCGTTTTTTTTTGGCTCTTTGTAGCCTTTCTTTATATTTATCGATTTAGAAAATTATTGTGCTTACTTTAATAAATATTAATGTCCCCCGTCTCTCTCTCTCTCTCTTTCTTTGTGTCTAATACGTCAAGAAATAGAACTCATGTACGTCACAAGTCATATACACAAGTCGTATACGAGTCAACATACGAAATGCGTCTTCCGCAGATAATGAGATATTCGTATGTTCGTATGTTGCGCGCATTATACATGTCATATATATATATATATATATATATATACATGCGTATACATTATGTTCGAGATGACAGACGCAACATCACTCTTGTGCTGAAACTCATACAGAAAATTATCTACTAATTATCGATCTCTAGAGTTACATCGTTCACATAAGTATGTCAAAGTGTCATTGCCACCGCTTGATCGAACACCATTACAAGCTGGTTGAAGATTCGCGAATCGGTTTTTTTTTTTTTTTTTTTTTTTTTTTTTTTTTTAATCAATTTCAAATTGGCGCAATAAATACTTGCGCGATCAAGTGTTCTCTCAGTCTCTTCCGAATCTTCAACTAATTTGCGGCAGAAATTTCGAACAATGTGTATATAAGTACGTATCAAGTATGTATTTTAGTTCGTTAATTTTCGAAAACGTGCACGATTGGGAAAACAAATACTCGTGTAAATAACTACACACAATAGTTTCGTATTTTTTACGAGAGAGAAATATGCATTTTTCCTCCTTCCTCTTCTATCAAAGGCGATTTTTATGCGTAAGCTACGGGTCGTAATCCGATTATGTAAAGGAAATTTGCGGAGTTCGCGTAGTGTGACGAAACTGAAAATAAACGATCGCGCTTTTATTCAACTATATTATAAGATCGCAATCTCAAAATGCATTTTATAATATTATCTCGGAAAATAAGTAAAACGGAAATCGATTCCAATCAAAAAAAGAAAAAAACATCAGAAATATAGAGAAGATTTTGCTCACGTTTCTTCGTGAAATTATCGCGAGATAGATACGTAGGTGTGCATAGATTATAATATAAGTTTGCCGAATATTCCCTTGGTGTGTCGAGAGACACCGATCGATTCGTGACTCGCTTCTGCATAAATGTCGCCTAGATTCGCACGAGCTTTCGCTTCTACGCGCGCAATCTACGTTCCGACGTAGAATCCCGTGCCTCTATTGCGATATTGTACAATCGCGCGTCCGTCATCATGATCTCGCTCGTCACGTGCGAATTCTCGCGTTGTGTTACGAGTTGACTCTTGTTGGAATTTAGGCATCCGTCGCGGCACCGTAGCATTTAGCAGTCAGCCGGATTTGGACCCGGACGATCCCAGGCAGAGTCTGGCCGATCTCTACAAGCTTCACCGTCGCCGGGAGACCGAGGGACCGAATCGCCTCGGCGTTTTTCAACGACTCTTCAGTCTCTTCGGCAGCAGGCCGAGTAGCAGAAAAACCTCAGCCGCGTCGTTCACCGGTAAGAAAGTGTCGACGAATAAAAGAATAAAAGCCACTTCAGAGAACTCGCGAGGTGTGCACGTCGCCCATGTGATAGACACAGATTCGACCGTGCTATATGTGTTATATACAATTGCACGCGTTACGTCAGAAGCGAAGCAAATTTTTCCTCACAAAAGAAGAGTCTTGTAAAAGTCCGCAAAATGCGAGAATATTTCGAGTGTTTCGAGACTGGAAAATCGAAGCCGTGGAAACCGTATGCCGTAATTTGCGTATTCAATTTGCGACTTTGAGAAATAAACAAAATTATTTATCGCAATTTTTTCTTTATTTCAAATGTTTAAACGCGATTCGTATTTTTATTGTTCGATTTCTTCGTGTTTCTTGTAATAAATTTTACACACGTGTTACACCGCGCGACTGAAGCTTTATCTACTTGTGTTACCTTCATTATTAGGGGTAGCATCGGCACTTCGAGTCCATATGGGTTACATCGCCGGTTTAGTGCCCGGCACTACGAAGGCTGCCTCTACTTGCCAGGTAGACGCCGAAGGCACTCGCTCGCCTCATACGCGATGTGGTTCAGGGCCAATAATTAGTATTACTAGCGACGAGGATCGTAGATTGAGCCTGGGGCTACGTCGCAAGGAAAGTAGCGAGCCTAGAGTAAATTTCAGCTTACCGCCACGTGAGTGACCTACATGTAATATATATTTCACAACACAAATTATCTTAATTAAATACCTCTCTTGCTTTAGATGCTATAACGTAAATATTAAATTCCCCGCGATATTAAATAGAGTGGTAGTAATTTTATCGTATACATTTAAATTAAAATTTAAAATTAAGTTTTGCTGAAACAAAAACAATTCAGCCATTAAAAGAGTTCTCTTTTTGCAATTCTAAATATCTTGTAAAAAAAAAGCTGCTAATATATAAATTGCTTTAATTTAAATATATTAATGATAATGTTAAAATATATATAATGTAAAAATATATTAATGATAATGTGAAGAAAAAAAAACAAAAACTTTCAGAAGCAAGCACGAGTCAGTCATCATCTCGAGAGAAAATACGCGGCTCGCCCCGATTCCCACATCGGATAGTCCCGGCGAACAGTTTGAACGCCATCGCGCAGGGCGCATCGATCTCGAGACCGCATCGTTGGCACTCGATGGAAGACGCGACGAAATCGAAGACGATTCAAACAACGTTGTCCCGCGGCTCGTGCAGTCCCAACTCCGAGATATGGACCGCGAGCGAGATCGGCGGCGAGGTTCCTCCGAGAAAAGCGGCCGGGATAGAAAATATCGCCGGAGATAGAAAACCGCCGGATTACTTGGGTCTGAACAACATCAACGCGGAGTCAAAGACGTGCACGATCGACACAAAACTCGGCAGGGATCTGAGAAAGCTGTTTCGGGAGAACGACAGCCAGGACGTAGCAGTCAGCTCGGCCGAGTGCGAGCAAAAGACGACCCGATCGAGTTCGTCATCCTCCTCGTCCCTCAAGTTAATCGCCGCCGCGAGCGAATCCGCCGCGGCTTCAAAGAACGATTCCACCCCAGAGATTCGGCACGACACCGTTTCGAACTCTTGCCAGGAAGGACCGAAGTCTCGTATATCGAGCCCGGTGATCTCGGTGATCGATACGGATAACCCAGGGGAAGAATCAAACGCAGACGCCGCGGATACTTCTTTCTGCGAGGAGAGAAAACCGACTCCTATCGCGTAATACGTGTGTGTGTGTGTGTGTACGTATGAGTACGTATGTGGCACGTGATTGCAACAGATGTGTTTGAGTGATACAACTTTACAAGAGAGAAAAAAAGAGAGAGAGAGAGAGAGACAGACAGACGATTTATCAGAGAGAACTTCCAAAACTACGTTGAATTTTTTTTGTCGTGTTTCACTCGCAATGTATCATTTAACGTTTTGGTGTCTTCTCGGAGGTGTGAGATAGCGAATCATTTATCGAAATTTGTAACTATCGCATTTACTTAGACAATCCATAAAAATTAAATAAATAAATAAATAAATAAAAACGAATCAATTTAGATGTTTCGTGTATATTAGAAAATTGGATTGGATCGTGTGCTGCGCGAGATTACCAATAATAAAGTATTTTAGAAGTGCAGTTAAGTTGGACTTGTTGCGATTTTCGCAACGATCCATACGCACGTATATACGACGCATGAAAATGTGTATAGTGTTTTATTAGATATATATTTCCAAATTAATAATCTCCCCAAAACCTGATTAGATCTTCGAACGATAGTAAAATTTGTCATTCAGAGATAAATAGTGAAAATGTTGTTTAATAGTAATCGATGTTATATAATTGGTTATTATCCCCCGTTAAATTGTAATTGAACGAAAAATCGGAGACTCTCTGAAGTGGAACGTTTACGAAATCGACGTTTTGTGAATTTATTGATCACCAAAAAGAGGAAAAGCGTGTACACGCGGAAATTAACTTGTTTGTTGTGTCCGAATCAATAAATAAAATAGTGTGTTACACGTGACTGTATTACGAAGACCACATGCTGTGTGAATAGAATAATAGTTTCTCGTTCGTTGTGTCCAAATGCGCGGATCGCGAACAAATTGCATTGTAATCTCTCAATCATGTGTGTTCGCTAGCAATTGTGCCAAAACATCAAAACCGTAAGAGTATGGGACGTTCGTCTTGGAGGGATCGTATAAAAGGGACCAACACTTGCAACATCCGTTTAATTAAGTACGTCCTTTTTTGTAAGTTTATCTTCCTGTAAGAAATAATAAATTATATGTTTCGTTTGAGATAATTTATTATAAAAATTATATTATATTTTACTCGAGTGAGTGAAAAATGACAAAGAGATAAAAATACAGTACGTCTTACATTTGTTTTATCGAGCAAATATAAAATTCCAGTTAGTTTTTTTTTTTTTTCGAATTTTTCACTTCATTGTACATTCGATGTTATTAATCACTAATCCATTAATTATTTTCGAAAAAAAACGAAACAATTAAGAACTTCAAATGTTTCAGAAGACAAACTAAATATTCTTACGGAGAACTCTCTACAATCAACAAAAAGTGTTCAGTGCCCCCCTTAAAAAAAAAACCACTCTAGAGTACCTGCGCTCACACGTGCAATGAAAATATTTCTCCGCAAATCGAAGCAAAGTGATTTAAAATAAGAATATCACGTTGTAAAACGTAAAACATGTTAAAACGTACTTTTCAAGCCACCGAATTAACATAATTGTACGTATATAAATAAAAACTATGTAGGTAAGTGATATATATACATATACGTATATATATACATATACATATATATGTATATATATATATACATATATAAGTACGTATCCTTGCAAAGAGATTTTCTTTCGAAATCTTGCTATCCGTATTTCGTAACTCGGATATCTCGATGTGTCAATCATTAAAACTTTACGATTAAGCAATAATCAGCGTTGTCTATGCAAATAAGAACAATGTAATAAAGAACTATATTCTATCCATCTTACTATATCCAGAATTATCTCTATCCATCCCACATCCAAGTCGTCAATACGCGAAACAAGATTAACGTGAAAAATATTCATATAGCCCTGATGTAAGAATATTTTATTCTCTTCTACATCAGTAGACCGACAAGAGATTACGCGATTATTTGTAGAATATGTGTACATATAAAAACACATTTAAATCTGTAAAACAAGTCAATTATTTATATCTTAGAGCTACTTTTATAAAGAAACAAAATCTACGTCTCTTTTGCCTAATATTTTGCTTACAATAATTCTTATAAATTTGTTTCATGAGAAAAATAATCCCGAGATATTTGATAGAAAAATATTTTAAAAAAACGGCAACTAAGAGAGAAACACAGAAACAATTTTCTTTAAAATCAGTCTTAAAATTTTCAGTCGTTAATAATTTATATCACACAATCGCTCGACATGCAATATTACTTATTTGCGACCAACTGAATGCTTTCTAAGAAAAATATTCAGGAGCAAATAAAATCATAATCGACATTATTTTTTCTCATAAAACATTATTATATACAATAATATATTGTACATTCGTTTATAAACTTGTTTACTGTTATATCAAAGACGTGTTGATTTAATCATGTTTTTGTTAAAAAGAGTTTTAAATCAATACGCGCTTTTTCTTATAATCGACGCTAGCTATTTTTTTATATATCTAGACATAACACGTTTGTATTCAGAATATATAACATCTCATATATACATTATGCACATTTATATGATATGTGTGTATGAGTGCGTGTGTATGTGTGTGTGTGTGTGTACGTGTGTCTGTGTCTGTGTGTATTAAATATAAAATTTTTTTTCATTTTACAATAAATTCATCTTTTAAAACAGTAAAACAAATTTATAATTTTGTACAATCGAGTCTTCAATTAGTCCTTTTCCTTTATCGTCTGATATTACATTATTTCTCTTCTTATGCTAAATTCTCTCTCATATTTGTTTATGCTATGAGATTACATAATCATATTATATTTAGTAAAATATATAAAAAATAACTATAAAGTACGTAAAATATGTTAGAAATAAAATATTTCTTAAGTGAGCCATTTCCTGTACATGTATTATGAAAACAGTAATTAAAAATGTTCCTAACAATGTTTAAATATAACAACATATATATTTATGTAATAATACAAAATCAAATGTACGAATCTTGACCAAATCACTTTGTCGCATAATGGTGTACATAAGTGAATGAATGAAGTTCTTTATGTACACGAAGTTTTGTCGTTAATATCTACACGTAGATTGCAACAACTTTGTACAACCAACTCTGGAAACGCATAATTTTTGTGCATGCTATTACAGAAAAACAATACAATTTACTAACTCGATAATTGCGACGAATATGATATACATATATCATTAAATGAGAATTTAATGTGTGTGTACATATGTATATATATGTATATATATATATATAAAATTTATATATATATTTATATATATTATTTATATATATGTATATGTATATATATATATATATATATTTATTTATTTATTTATTTATTTATTAGGGATGTACAGAGAGGTATCCGAAAGTACGGTCGGATCGGACGGGATTCCGAAAGTTTTCTGTACATATAAATTTGTTCGGATACCCGTATTTTCGGGTACCCACACATCTTTAACCTCTTAGGCACTATGGATGTCATCTTTCTGTACGACGCGCCACTATAGTGGCTTTCGCGGATGCCATCTCTCATAATTTAATCATCAAACACTTCATTCCAATGTACTCGTGTAAAGAACAGCATTATCCGTCACACATTGCAGTGCCGTATCATTTACATGTAATTCGCGTTGAACTCTGCCGTACAGAGAAACAGCCCCGCGCAAAATTCAGCCGTGCCTAAGAGGTTAATATATATAATATAAATATATATATATATATGATATATATTAGGAGTATATATATATTAGGGGTGTACGGTGTATCTTCGAACAAATTTATATGTACAGCAAACTTTCGGAATTCCGACCCGATCTGTACTTTCGGATACCTGCACATCCCTAATAAATATATAATATATATATATGTATATATATATATAATATATATATAAATCTATATATATGTATAATATATATAATAATATATATATATATATATAAAGTAATTAAACGAACAAAATTGATGACCTTATCATATTAAATACCGGTTTCTTGCTTTTCCATTTTGTGATAGCTATATTGCTGCCTGAAAAAAAATTCAATACTCAATTTTGATATTTGATTTAGTCATTAATATTACATAGTTTCGAGGAAGATACGTGTAAGTACTTACAGTAAGTTTTTCCAGAAGTGTTTCCAACGGTTTCTCCTGTTTCACGACATTCTTCGGATTTTTTTTGATGCTGACTTGTTTATCATCCTCTGTGATCTTCTTTTCCGGACTCTTCTGAGCATTTCTTGCCTCTATCCTTTTGCGATTCAGAAAAGCCATCCCGTGAACCCTCAGATGTTTGTCTACCGCAGCTTTGTCCTCGAATATTGCCTTGCAAACGTAGCACTGATTATCCGTTTTTCCTTCCTCTTCCGTATCGCCACCGGCACCGGGAGCGTAAGAAGGATTTTGATTCATATAACTGATAGGATCGTCTATACCGTGGAAAGCCTTAAGATGCATCTGCAGACTAGGCGTGACCATGAAGTTCTCGCCACATTCCAGACAGATAAAATAACTATCTTTTATTCGATGACTGGTGGCAATGTGTTCTCTCAAATTCGACATATCGGTGCACCGTTGATCGCATCTTTTACATCTAAAATTACCCTCACCGTCTTCGGCCGTCTCCTGTTCCACGCACAATCCCGTGGGTTTTTCTGTCTCGTGGCATTTTTTCGTCGTCCATCGCCGCTTCTTCTTGGGCGTGGACAAACTAGGCCCTAATGTGCTGTCTGCTTTCCGCTTCTCTCCACAAATAAATGCCTTGTAGCCGCCGTTGATAAAGTCCGAAGACATTCGCAATGTCCGCGGAGCGACTACCGCCAATGCGTATTCGTTTGAATGCTTCTCGTCAAAGTGCTTTTGTACTACTGACCAAGAAGTATTAATCCGCTCGTTGCACAAATGGCATGTATACTCGACATCTCCGTCTCGCGTCCCGTGTATGGCAATACGCTTTTTTGATTTAGCAACTGTCGGAACAAGAAGATTCTGAGATTTTTTTTTCCCAACGTTCTCTGAGTCGTTATTCGACTTATTCGCTTCTACGGTATGTTGTGGAATCTTCGTAAGCGGAGGAGGTTTAGGAATAAGACAATTTGAGTTTGTATCTTCTATTCGTGCGTCGCGCATCTCGGCGTCAATGAACGATGTAACATCCGGTTTGCAGATCTTCCTAAAGTCAACCACCTTTATACGTGACGTTGTTTTTGCTTCGGGCTTGGAATTTGAATCGTTTTTGCTCGGCAAATTTACGCAAATATCATTTGCGTCTGTTAATAAAAGTTTCTCGGAAGTGTGAGAAGTAACAAGTTCACTGTTAAATTTACCAGACTTTTTTGTCGTTTCAGTCTCTTCCATAGTCTCGAAGGCATCTACTTCCATTGGCGTTTCTTTTACATCTTTATACTGATCTGTTGTTTTGTCTTCAACTATGTCAGTTTGAATAGATTGAGATTTGGTCTCAGGTACAATAATTCCCTTCTTAGCTGTAGGCGCTTTTAAGTCGGCCATTGAAACAACGTTCAAAATTTTTGGTAACGATTCTTTCATTTTTTCATGATTGTCGTCTTTCGCTGTATTTGTTACATTTGCATCACTGAAGTCATCGGAATTTACGAGCAAGGAGTCTGTATCCTGGGAACCACACTCGAAGATTTCTGAAGAGATTGTCCGGGTATTAACAATTTTAGGCATTACCGTATCATCGTTAGGTAACAATTTGCTTGTTTGTGCGTATGTTTTACCATCCACAACTTTCACTCTAAATATGTGATTAAAGGCTTCCCTACTAATAATTTCCGACATCTTCTCAAAATGATGAGTTCGAAGATGATTGTTCAGTAAGGACTCAACGTGTTGGTTATCTACAGTTATCAATTCGCAGAAAGGACACTTGAAAAAAGTTAACTTTCGAATTCCACGAAAATCTTCCAAGTACGTCAGATAATTCTCCCAACGTACTGCAACGTTACTTATTTTGCATACTACCAATCGTATTGGCTCATGCCGCATCGAATGTTCCTTCGAATAATGTTCTACGCACTCGCTGTACGTAGAGAACACCAGCCAACAAAATTCACAAGCAGTTTTCGTGTCGCTGTGCATGATAACGAAATGCCTGGTAATCGACTCCATGTCTCTGAAACCATCTATGTTACAAATTTTACAACAAAACAAATGCTTTCTCAGCGTGTGAAAGCAAGCGGTCCATGTATGAACCTCTAACGAAGTGGCGGATGGGAAACGAGTGTGACAATCCGGACAGATGAAAGGTGGGTTCTGCTTATGAAAGTTTCGATGTGCAATAAACCGTGGCATATTACCTTCGTATGTTTGACACTCGTGACAAACGTATTTATAACAAAGACAATAGTCGTGATCGTGCTTGGGCAATTTTGAAAATCCAGGAATGTACATATCAGGTTTTTTCGGTTTATTACATCTCACACATCGTATATTTTTCTTCGAGGCTTCCGTTTCCCATTCGGCTAACTTTACATCGACGTATTTCTCAAGTTTTACATCAATCTTAGAATCATCGTCACTTTTCTTACAAAGACATTTTTCCAACGTCTGTTGCAGAGTATTAACCCTTGCCAGTTTTTCATTAAGAATAATATCTTTTGGCGTAAAGTTCAAAACTGTCCTGAGTTCTTCTGTAACATTTTTCAAGTGTTCCAAGCGTTCTTTTAACTCGGAGACATTTAGCTGATTGAAGCTGTCTATCATTTGATGTGAATAGACTGATATTCTATCAGTGAAGTTTCGAATACGATCTACACTATTACGATCCAGCATTTGTATTTGCATGTAAATATTATTTTCTCTTAGCCCAAATATTATTGTTTCTAACGTGCTGAATTTAGAATCTGATAGTGAATATTTATCCAAAGAAACGTTAAAAGAATGATTGACAATTTTCTTTTGTTGTGATTGAGACGTAGTTGAAGTTCTAGTATTAGTAGACTTCTGAACAGAACTAATGGATATCTCGGGAGATGGAAGTGTTAAACGAGCGATATTGCTGGAAGAAGATACCACCTGCTGTATGCCGTTATCCGCAGCTTTGTTATCATACGTTTTTTTATTAACGTTCGTTATTGAAATATTATCAGATGGTTTTGTAATAGTTTTTGAGACCAACGATAAATTAGATTGGTTTACATTGTTTGCAGTATTTTTTACCATTTTAATGAGATACTTCTTTCCATTTCTTATCACCATTTGCCAATCGTTTTTTTTCGTGGTTTTTGTATTACACGTCTGTAATGGCATGTTGACGTTCGCATCGCTATTATTTGATGGCGATTTGCATAACACTTTTTTGATTGGTACTGTATCAATGTTTCTGATAAGTATCTTATGTGAGTCATTTTTAATAACAACTATTTTGTTGTTGTTGTTGTTGTTGTTGTTGTTGTTGTTGTTGTTGTTGTTAGAAGCAAAAGAATGCGAAAACTGATCGATTATTGAAGCGATATTTAAATTTTTGGGATCTTGAATATTGGAACTATTATTTGTTATCGAAGTCTTGGCGGAAATATTATTTGCAGATGGTTTGTTTGTCAGAACTTGACTAATGTCAATATTTTGTCTAGATTTGGCATTGATTTTTGTTTTTTTCAACAACGGCTGTGCTATTTTGCAATTTGTACATTGCTGTATTTGTACAGCAGCACCTTCGGAGAATCCATCAACGGTGAACTTTTGATTAGAATTGCTAACATTAATGATATTTGTATAATTATTGCTCATAGGTTTCTCAATTTGTTTGAGATCTTTCACGGTTATTATTTTTTTTATAACTTGTTGCTGTGATTTCGCGACAACTGTTTTCCGTGTTCTGGGTACGTAGCTTGTTGTGAATTCCGGAACAAAACCTTTTGCAGCCTCACCGCAATCTATGAAAGTAATCCCATTTGACGTACAAGGATTATCTTCATTTTCTGATGTATCATCAGAAGTATTATTTGTCTCATTTTTTACGCGATTAGCTGATTCATTATTAAGAGAACATGTGCTTTCAGAAAGAAGAGTATCGATAAAAGTAGAATCAGCAAAATGATCAGACTCTTCTAACGTTCTAAATACTTGTCGACCCTTGTAACCTTTGACAACTTTAAAAATTAGATTATTGCTTTTGTCATTGATTAGCTTCCACCACGTATTTTCCAAGTTATACGTTCTTAACCAATCATTAATATGTACACGGGACAAGAATGTGTGTTCCATAAGTGCTTCGCACGCTATCTCAAGTTCGGGAGACCAATCACTATCCATCAGCGCAGCGGGTAAAGGCATTAACATTAAGTTACCCAAATCTACCGAGTTGCACTTATGCATTTCCAGATGTTTGAAAAATTGGCACTGGTTATAAAATACCTTCATTGTTCCCAACTTCTGATTTTTTGTAAACCCTCTCGTCCTCAAATATGCGCGTTTGTCACTATCTTTTTTTAGGCATAAGAGACATGCTGCACCTGTTGCGGTTCTGTGAGTACAAACAGTTATGAAGCACACGTGACACCAAAATCCTAAGATCCAACTGCGCCGTTTAATGTGATCCTCAAAGCTGCTCTCAAAGCGAAAACTGAAACAAAAATTATTGCGATTAATTATCAAATAAATCACAAACTTTCAAAATCAGTTGTACAGTTACAAGTTTACCAATCTTTGCACTGATCACACACATAAAGTGGATCAGATTCCACAATTTCTTCACTCAGAGTTGCCGGTGGTTCTATTGGTGTGTAAGGAAAGCAGAACCTTATAAACACAGCCGATTTTACAGCTCCATAATAATGCGGTCCCCACTGACTTTCAATTCTATGGTTCCTGAACAGCCTTGGCACATTTTTTGATGAAGACAATGTACTGACATCCTGAAAAAACACAAATTAATAATGTTAAACAAATAAGCATTGTTATAAATTACATTTTATTCTTTTTTTTAATGAAGACAATACAATCAATAAACAATCCCAGGAAATGTCTATCAACTTTCTCTTATATGCACAGCTATCTATTGATCAACACAAATGTAAAGTACAATTGTTCACATTTATGAAACTTAACGTCAACACAGCTATCTATTGTCTCTTGTATGTGATTGATACTTTACCAGAGACATTTGTTGTGGCATGTCTACTGTATTTTATTAAATGAAATACATTAACACGTTATCATTAATCACAAAGCTGCACATCTATCAGCCATGACGTGCCACCAACTACCTTCTCGGTCGATAAAACAGCACACGACAGAGTCGCCACGGTGGAAAATACTTGAAACTTCTTTTCAATATGTTAAATAACGATTTAACATTAACTACATTACAAGCAATATTTTGTCAACATCTACAACGCGACTCATAATCACTTTTGTGCTTTAACTTGACATGATATTAGCAAAGTCAATACCATTGTTTTCACAGGTCCTGCTGTACACTTATACAGAATTACATAATGCCGCACAGGTCTCTATAAATAGCATGTTATTCTCTTCAAAGGGCCAAATTAAAAATCTTCCAATGCAGAGAGATCCTGAAACATTAAAAGCATGTTAAATAGATATAATGTAAGATATATCATTAGATGTATATGTATCTTGATGTATAAGTATAAAAATGTCTCTGAAAGTAGATATGTCTAAGCAAACACACATGTATTTTATTCTTGCATTTTTGTTGCAGTCTATTATAATGTAACATGCTGTGAGGCTATTCATGTATATACTTGAACAAACTAAGAAAGATATTTTAATTGTATGGCTTTATCACATGTGTGAAATCCAGTATCTTGCAACACACATCTGTTGTGTCTAAGAGTGACTTTAGCTTTAGAATATAAACCATACCTGAACTAAAACAAAATATATGTGAATATAACCAAAGTAACAAATATTTTTCTCCATTGACTGCAAGATAATGTTCTATGTTGATAACAATTTTTTCTTGTCTCGTGACAAAGACTACCTGAAATCAAAGAAAACATTATTGTAATTAGACTCAAAACAAAATTTATATTGTTATATAATCAAAAGTACATTTCAATGAAAAGAATCAGAAATCAGAGAGTGATTCATGTATCAACGCGCACAAGTATTGCAAGAGAGAGAGAGAGAGTATAAAAGTTAATGGTAATATTTAAATGTGTGTTTCATGTAGTTTTTCCAATAATTTTTATATTCTTTATACTTAATTCACAGAAAAACATTATTATACATGATAAATAATAATACCTTCTCATAAAGAATACCTCTAGAAACTTGCTGGCAAGCACAACAACCTAATCTAACCTTATGTGTAGTGAAACATCCCTGCTAGAGTGCGCTAGTTCCGAGAATGTAATTGTATTTGTAACACAGTGGTACACAAAACTTGCTATTATATAATATTATAACAAAGAATAAACTCTAAAAAACAATAAGATAGAGAAATATATTTATATATGGACTTGGTCACCAAAAATGAAACGTAATCTTTGAAAAGCATATATCAAGTACTATAATAAGTACGTACATGTAATGAAATGCAAGACATTATGTATGTACATATACGTATGCAAAAATGTGTGGAACAAAAGTGTGATGGGATTGAAACCTGGCTGGCTGATGACGTAGCTTAGGAAAATTCATATTGTGAAAAATTTTAATAGTAAAATCTTACAAAAAGAAGACAAAGAGAAAAAAATTCTTTATCTAAATATAAATAAAATATATCAAAATTATATTCTTTTTATAGCATTGGCTTCTCCAGTTTTAAGATACATGGGACATTCATCGCAGCGTTGAACTGTGGTCACGTGGTTCCAAATTGCTTTGTTGCTTTCACACTTTCTTTCATTGTGTATGAAATATAGATTAATATAACGACCGATTATTCTGTTGGAATTTGCCAATCGCATTAGTTGTTTAGCAAAATTTACCAATCACAGCTGATACTTCAGTCGATTAGCTTGATAATTGAAAATGGTTTGTGAAACCGACCCAATGACTAGGTTCCTCGTTATAAAATCACTCTACAGTTTCTGCCCCTGGATGGCCCCCTAACTCGTTCTGCATACACTGTAGCGGTCTAGTACAGCATATGCAAGTCTAGTGAGATCACTTGGATCAGAAGCAGACGAAGTCGTCGGTAACGTTGGTTGCGCAACAACAAAAATGCCATTCTACCGATTTAATTCGTTAACGGGTAGATTGAAATCGTCTACCCATTTCCAACCGCTGTATCCTCTTGTAAGTGAAAATACGCGCAATCCGCTCTATATATTTGGCTATCGAATGTAAGGTGTAAAACTTATTACAAGTCTCTGACGTGTTCTCAAGCAAGTGTACAAGTGAACTGCGAGTGTATTTCGTGTGTTTTAGCTTGTAACAATATCTGAGATCGAGAGTCATTGTTTCTCGTGGAATCATATTGGCTACAGTAATTATTGTCTTGTTTCTCCGAACTCGAAATCGATCTTCATGTTATCTCGTTATCGAACACGATTCGGCCATGTTTCTTACATCTATAGCAAAGTCTCTTGCAGTTGTGTGCATTATGATATAATATTGATACGTAATAAAAGATAAATACATGATTTACATAAGTAATTATAATTATTGATATCTTGAAAACACACACCAAATCTACTAATGTCATGTGCAGTGCGCTGATGTGTGATCTCTATAAAACAGTAATAGTGAGATTGTTCTTTGGTTGTTAATATAATTGATTTGTTTCTGAAGAAGTGTGTGTAAAAATATTTGTCATTTTTCAGTCACCTGTTCCTTTACAGAAAGCAGAACCAGTCGTAATTTATGATACCCCTAAAACAAAACCACTTACGGTTACATCTTCAGCCAGTTATTCTACTGACCTAGAAAAACCACCTACTCTCGACCCAAAGCTTTGGGCTAAATACAAGCATTTCCAGGTAAGTGACATACATTGGTCTTCCTTTCGGTCATAATATTATTGCTGTTTAAAAAACGCACTATTGTCTTTAATATTCTCTTTTGTTTTCAGTCTGTAATTGACAAGCCAGTATATTTGGCAGGTGGCAAGTCAGACAAGATACTATTTGGATTTACAGTTGCATACCTCGCTGTTTGTACCGCACAGACAGTTGTATTTGTTCTGAGAGATTGCTTAAATGTAATCTAAATATACACAAGTGAATATATCATGTAGATAATAAATTTATAGACTTCTGATATAACAGTTCCAAATTGACATTAGAAATGTAAATGTTGGAAAATAATGAGAAATAATTACATAAATCAGAGGTTCTTATATAGTTTTCTAATTGAATATCCCATCATTTTTATTTAGACATTTAGATTTGTGTTTCTATATTTAAATATTTATATATAATTTTTAGTATATATTTGACATGATTTGACAAATTTGGCTACATGGATTAAAATTAAAAGTATAGCTTGAAATAAAGTTCTTAGAGGGGTAAAACGGTAGCGCGTGCGCCAGTGTTTACAGTTTTGGCTTCCTTACAGCATGCTGAAACGGTGGAAGGGATGCGCATAATAGCAGCGAGTTTATGAAGGTAGAATTCACTGCTGTTGTGCGCATTCCTTCCACCGTTTCAGCAAGCTGTAAGGAAGTCAAAACTGTGAACACTGGCGTGCGCAGGCTCGAATTCCCATCACTGATTACATCCTTATTTCACATTACATTTCGAACGAAGATACAAGATGTTGTTTTCGATACACATATCGCATGACCTTTACCGATATTACCAGAACATTCTGTACATACGAGGTATTTCTGTAAATCAAGTTACATTGTTACAACACGTTTAGTTTCGTCGAACCTATAATACGATACACATCGGACACAGATTGTGATAACGATGTAAGTAGTGTTTTATAATTGTTTCTTGTAAGAAGTTATGCGTTAAGTGTTATTAATTTGCACATGAAGTACCGTAGTTTTATTACAAAATATCTTATATTTAATTATTACAAACAAACTTTTTAAAACATAACGTGCATTTGTGCTCTTTAGAAACTAATATGAAACATATGCAGAAGAATTACACTATTCTAAAATATGCATGTGAGAAATATATATGATCGATTTATTTTCAGTCATTTTCAAAATTATTAACACATCAGATTTTAATGGAGTACATATTTCTTTCTTTATGTTGCATAATATCATATAAACTTTTATATAAATATTACATATGAAGACCGCAGGAGGAGACTTAAAAGTCACATTTTCGTAATTTTAGAGAAGAGCGATTTTAAAATTCAAAGTGTACGTGTTTCTCTGTACACGTTTTCTAAAGTTGCTATATCTTAGAATCTATCAAGAATTTTTCTCTTCGCTTTGGATAATTGCAATATTTTATTTCAACTACCAAATAACATTATAAACAGAAAATCGAAAAACATAGACTTATCACGTGGTATTCTCCTCCTGTGGTCCTTCTCCTGTGATCTTCATATACCTAGTCGATGCCGCCGACAGAAAGTATACGTATATTTGTGTGTACAGAATGTCCGTGAAGGGTAAATTTTGATAAACATGTATAATGTGTTACTGAGGTCGAGCGAATGTGAAAACAGTTTATATAAATTTATATCCGAAATCACATCATTTTCCGACTAGCGACGGCATCTTGCAACCAAAACACATATTTATAACTTTTGGAGTATAACGTACAAAACGCAAATACACATTTTCGAGATGTAGATATTTGTTTTTTTTTTTTTTTGTTTTTTTTTTTTTTCAGATTATCTGTTTCGGACGAAAAAATTTCAACTTTTTTAATTGTCCCATAAAAATTCGAAAGCAATCAAAAAAATTTCAACGCACATTCATAATTTTATAAGGTAAGTGCAGATATATACGTTAGAGCGACTGCACCCCGCATTCCCAATCATCATGTTATATATAAAAAAATTTGTATAGTTTTTACTGCGCTTTACAAAGTTTTTTTTACTAAACTATAGTTTTCTTAATTTTAATAGGTCTTTTTCTTTCTCTCATTTTCTATTACATCTCTGTAGAATTCGGCATGATTTACTATTTTCTTTCTACGCAAAAGAGTTTTATACTAGAAATAAACAATTCTGCGTTTTCTTTCTCTACTTTACTTGTAATACAAAACTTCGTTTTACAGATGCATAAGGTAAAAGTTGTCGTGTCTTTCTTACAACTGTTGTTTGTAAGTAGCATTCTAGGTGTTCTCGTAGACGCGGCAATTAATTATGATTATAGAGGAACACACACACATAAGCAACACATATTACCACTATATTACAAACTTGATCTAAAATATTTGGAAGAAAATGATTTCATTATTGGTGAAAGCCGAATCACTATTTATATTCAAGAGAACACTCAACAACTAAGCTTCGACTCATTCGTATCTATAGATGAAATCAATTTGTACAAAATAATTCCGACTAATATAACACTAAAAGAAACGTATACTCGAGAATATTTACAACCAATAGATGAACTAAAAAGTATTTCTTATGATCAAGTCTTCGGATTTGTTATCATAGATTTTAGAAAAATAATAGTGTCTGGATATTACGTGCTACAAATAAAATTTTCGGAGTCGTTTGTTGAAACGATGAATACGGATGGCTACATTCGAGTTTTTAATCAAATCAAAGGAAGGCAAGTAAAGTGAACAAAATTTAAAATAATAAAAGTGATATCTACAATTTCTTGGAAGTAGTGTTCATTTTTTTATAGTTTACAAGTTTACATTTTTATTATCTGATATTAAATCACAGATGTTATAAACAAGATATAAAGCAAATATAAGTAATTCGCTCCAGTAGTAGGTTACTTCAGTGGCTTATAATAATTATCGTAAGTAACTCAGGCTGTTGAGCTTGAAATGTTACATAGAATACAAACAATGATATAAAAAATTTGTTTTTTTTTTTAATTTTATATATTGTATTAAACAATGGTAATACACAAAAATATAAATTTTATAATTTAATAACTGTCTTCGTTAGAGTCACAAGTAATTATCACCGATAAACAATACATCATAGAATATTAACTACAAGTTATTTTTTATTCACAAATAGCAGTATCAGTTATTTTTCATAGATAGAAAGGAGATACATTTTTTTAGCTATATTTAATCATTATATTTTTCAATAAATTTGCATTAAACTTTTCAAGCAGAAGTGACTTACTAGTAGGACAGTAATCTTATATGACATTTGCATCAGAGACATATACATCACACAAACACACACACCAATAGTAAAATAACGTTTTTTGACATCATCATTTATTACTAGAGTGATTGTGATTTAATGTCGGTTTTTCTGTCACATTGAGTATTTTTAAATAGTCATGCATTCATCAATGTAACTTTTACACAATACAAATATTAACAAATACTGTAACTGACATCTATAGTGTTTTGTTGTTTAAAACAGATGGATAATAGCAACACAAACTCAAGTAGAAGGTCCACAAGCAATATTTCCATGTTGGGACAATCCACATTTCAAGATAATTTTTCATGTTTCTATATGCCATTCTAGAAAGTACGAGATTCTTTTCATGCATAAAAACTCTAGTACTGAATTGATATCTCGTTCTCACTTGATATGGACGCACTTCGAACCTACTCCTGCTGTATCTGCACATTGCATAGACATCCTTGTAATACCCACTTACACTTCTAAATGGACTTTAGTTCCATATAATTTCACACTGACGATGCTCTTAAGGGTAGGTCCTTCCCACAAATTTGCATTTGATATTATTGAGGAAATCATAGGCTACTTAATGAAACAGACTTTAGTAGACCGATGCAAGGTGGCGCACACAACATACATCTCAGTCAGAGATTTTCCATTTATATCTCTCGTAACTCCTTCTTTTGCTCTTTTTAGGTAATGTAGACATTATAGATAAACTTATTTTAATAGTCAATCAAAAACGCACGTATATATAATAAGAGATGTGGATTTTTGTGGTGATGCAAGATGCATGTTTTATTGTTTGATTAAGTATCATTGGATATTTATTAGGATGGTACAACCATAATTGCAATTTTTAGTATTTTTACGTTTATAATCATCACAATTATTTTTGGATCAATCTGTTATTACGGAAATATAAGTATACTAAAATATTTACTCATATAAAGTTGAAAACCGTAATAATTGCTGACATATCTTAAAACATATCGTAAAAACATTGAGAAATAGTATCATTAATATATATATAATGTGTGTGTATAAATATATATATATATATATGTATGTGTGTGTGTAATTATGTCTGTAATAAATGTGCGAATGTTATTGGTCTAGTCATTGAGACAATTACATTATTTCTAGCAATGTAAATGAAATTATATGGAATTATACTTATTCAGAAAAATTATTTTTAATATTATTTTAGTGAAGAAGTTATAACCTTTAGTGACAAGACACCTACAGACCTGCAGATAATGACAGTAGCGCAATTACTAACAGAGACAATAACGTATCAATGGATTCTTCGATCAACAAACCCATTATACTGGTCATCCTCACGGTTAAAACAGATGTCAACATTTTTAGTCATATATTTACCTTCACAGGTTGTTACATATATTTTTCCCTAAATGTGTTAAATTTGTCGAATAGAGATCATGTCATAGATGTATGCCTAACTTACATATTTCGTTTATAGTAAAAAGGCAGAGTTTATTATTTTGAGAACACTGGCAGCAAAGTTACACAAAACCTTAATTCTATTCTGTTAAATTATTTTCTAGATATTTGTTCCAATATATAAAAAGAGATATCCGTCATTCCAAGGTATAGATACAGGTCAATCTTTGATTCTCGATGTGCATGATATAAATCTTATTCTCACTTCGAAAACAACTCCTTTCTCCGATATCTAAGAAGAAGACTTATCTCCTCAATTCGTCCTAAATTGAAGGTATAACTGAGAGAAAATAAAAACACACAACTACATATATTCTTAAATACGCAACGATTGTAATCTTACAATAATAAGACAAAAGCATAGAACAAATTAATCAAATAGTCAAAAAAGAATAGTATTGCAATATTTATAAACCTTAAATTTTTTTATATATCTTTTTTATTTCTGAAAATATCATTAGAATTAAAATGTAATAATAATTAAGTAAAATGTACAGCACAAAGTTGTCCTGAGAGCGCTAAAACTGTCGAATATAGATTATGCCATCGCTCTTGCAATAATAGCTTATTATTATTGATAAAAATAATGTTTCTGTTATTGTGATATAACATTGTCGGCAGGAAAACTTTAATCTGTTACTTTCTTTTCTAGGTACTTCCACAAGTAAAAGTGACAAGCTGGACAATCGACACTGATTATAAAAAAATTTCTTCACTTCTTGAGGTTCATTTTTAATAACATAATAATAGATATATTTACAGGTAACCCTCGTATAACGCGAATATTCCGTTCCACAGAAACGCCGCGTTATATAAATCGCGTTATAGGAGGCCCACATAAGTGCGCATATTGAAAAAACGAGATTAGACTATTTTATTACAATGTGAAAACCACGTTATATCGAAACCGCGTTGTTCAAGTACTTCGCGAAAGAAAGTATCGCTTCTCTCTGCGATTCCATAAATTACAACGAAGCGGAAGTATGTTAAATTAATTATCAATTGTGTAACATTATTTCTTGACAACCAATTCTTAATTATTATTTAATTTGCGTACTTATATGTATAACTACTTATATATTTAATTTTATTATGTTGACTAATTTCTTAAAATTGGGTAATTGAATTAAAACTTATAATTTATTATTGTATTATAGTTAAGTACTATAAAACAATTAATATTTATTATATTTAAACGTACAAGTCTGTACGAGTGTATGTAAGCAAAACATTGATGCTAAGAAGACTTCCAGTGCAGATATGCGTATAATGTGTATGATTCACATAATCATAAATACCACCTAAACAACGAAATAAATTATTTGCAATGAAACAAAAGACTGTATTATTAACACACCTGTTGAGTCCAGTTATGTGTAATTTATTATTCAAAAATGTTGTTTTTTCATGCTTCAATGTAAATACACAAATAATCAATCGATATAAAATACGTCCAACGGAAACATTCCGTATAAATAGTATACGTCGTATAAATTGTTACGCAGTTTGTAAAACTCTTACTATTTTTTAAAATAGTTTTTATTGTAACTTATACTTGCTCGCAAAACGAACAGAATTGTCTACTGATATTTTCCAACAAACATTGTAAATAATAGACCATCAACATAAATTTAATAATAATATGGAAAATTACAGAATACCAAATAAAAATTTCATATAAAAAGTAAATAATTTTAAAACAGAAATGTGTTACGTGTTTGGACATAGTTACAATATTTAATTTTTCTTTTTAAGTTTTGGCAATTAAAAGTTTATTTATATTTTCTCGTATATTGTGGTTGCGTAAAATAAGAAATTATTTACTTTTGATAATAATGTATTTTATTTAAACTGCATTTTACGCAGTTTAACTACTTGTTTGTAATCGCGTACATATAGAGATTCGCATCGATTCGAGACTACTTATCGACAGTAAAGTTTATAAAGCACGGATTCAAACCGAAAAACGTCTCCAAAAGCAGAGAGAAGTCTGAGAGCGGCCAGGTCCATAAGAGAATGTGTAATCACTTTTCCGCCCCGTAAACTAGCGCACGTCCACGGGTGGTACACATTGGAACTACGCAGCCAGTCCACAAGCGACATGTCGGTACGCTATGTCCACAGCGTGCGGTTCTATTCCGTGCTATGT